AACCTGTCAGAGTTTCTCTCTGTCCCCCCTTGTACTAGACAAAATCAAAGCGGGGTTATCTTCAGTTTCTTTCCCACGTTTCCTTCAAACACCGGACTGTGTCATCTTTTCTGCAAGTCCTCCTGGAACGGCTCGCTCTTTCCTTCCCCAAGGCCAACTCCATATTCCTTTACTCCGGCCTCTGAAGAAAGCAAGCCGAAGGCTGATTAGGTCATGTCCATCTTCAGAAAGATTGCATGTTCCTCACCCAGGACAGCAGCCTCAGCAGGTTACCCAGTGACTGCCTCACCAGCCTCCTCGCCACAGAGACACGTAGCTCCCTGTGAGACGCCAATTTCGTACTCACCTCTTCTTTGTCTTGAAGCAATGAGCTGCAGTGAGGACCCAATGCTCGGCAAGGAGGGACCCCCCACACGAGTGCCGGGGTCCCTTGGAAGAGGGGATCTGGATGCTGACAAGCCAAGGCCACATTCCGGGCAAGGCATCGATGCCACCCACAATCCGCATATTCCTGCCATGCTTGGGTGCCAAGGGCCGCTTCCCACAGGCTGAGGAGGAACAAAGGAGGGGGTCACTTGGGGCTAAGAGAGTCACCCTCTAGCTGTGTGGAACTGCCAGAGCAGATCCTTGTAGAAACCACCAAACAGTCATGAGATTCACAGGGTCCAATAGCACCTGACTCTACACTGGCATCGGGAAGGGTGGGCTGGGGCAGAAACTGGCACTGCTTCCAGTTACTTCGCTGGTTACACATCAGCCTCGGTCTCCTTGGCCAGTCATCAGCCACTCCCCAGCCTTCCTTTCTGATCTGTTTGCTACCCATCCTGATGGAACATTGTAGGAAACGTCTGTTTCCACACAGGACTGTAACCGTGACCTGGGCTAATTAAAGAAGACCTTTAATATGGATTTTGATCATTTTTTTAAATGGCTATTTCAGCACTTTTCACTTTGTAAGACTGTCAGAGCCTGGAGCTATCACCTCAAGAAGAAAATGTAATATGATTTGAGACAGTGTGTGCGCGTGTGTGCACCCATATGCGTGTGTCTATGCCTATGTCAGGTTAATCAGTCAGCTGGAACCTTGAAAGGGGGTTAGATGGACTTTTGGACCATTAGTCCAGGAGTCCCTCTGGATGACCTCCAAGATCCGAGGCAACCATTTTCCAAAGCATAAGCAGGAGATGGTTATGCCTCATGTCGTCCTCCTCTGGTTCCTGTGGGGAAGTAGGATGGGCAGTGGCAGAAGCGGCTTTGGCATGATCCAGAAGATTCTGTCAGTGGGCATTTAATTGGAAGGGCGCTCATGGGTCATTTTGTTTCACCTCTGCTTGGTGCTCTGTGTGTTTAGTACAGGAGTTGTATGCTGCTCCAGTTCCTGGTGGACTACAGTTCCCACCATTCCTCTCACTGGCCAGGCTGGCCAGCACAGCTGGGAATCATAGTTCAGACACAGCTGGAGTGCCACACATGGCCAGCCCACCCAGGAACCTAGAAACTGAACCCTCAATAAGCACTCTGACATCCTTCAGCACTTACAGTCTCAGAGCTGTGGCACAGATCCTCAGGGGCTTGCAGTAGTGACTCCGGCGTACAGTGGTTAGGAGTAAATACCACTTACATCACATCCAGTGGCTAATTTCTGGCTGAGCCCTGGAAACTTTATTAACCCACCAATAAGGCTGTCCTGGGCCTTTTCCTCATAGCAAAGTATAGCCTCTTTTAGAATCACCCGACCACCGTTGTGCCAAGATAAAAGGATGGCGAGCAGGCTTTAGAGTGGTGAGTGGGGGATGCGCTGAAGACGCTATAAGTCGATAGCAAGGAAATGTCCGAAGAGACACTCTTACAATCACACACACGGTTTGGATGTACTTGCACGACACCATTAATGGGTCCGTTAGAGACGTACCAGCTGCATTGACACCATGTGTGAAGTGTGGCTAATTTTAACCTTGTTCTGCATGTGCCTGGGTCACTGAAGGTTCTGCAAATTCTACTTTTTTGGTTCCTCTATTATCCAACATATTGTGTGAATCCAGAGAATGGGATAATTGGGTATTGAGGGTAAGTGTGCTAAGTGTGTTGGTATCGCATGCAGCACCACAACCTTTGTGAGTGCTATGCTTGTGTTGTACACCTCTCCTTCACATTCAGTCACTTAGTCAGGGTATCCTTTGACACCTTTTGGTCATCAAGAAAGTCGGTGCCCAGGAATGCACACCTGGCATCTCGAGGTTTGCCAACTGGTGGCCAGCCTGTGGCCAATTTGCACAAAGCAGTGTGATATTCCCAGGAATCCGATCCCAAAACGTTAGCTTTCTGGGGGTATCCTGAGGAAGTTTAAAATTGCCCCGAAACAATGGATTCACAACTGGGTCACATTTTAGGAACTGGCACAATAGATAGAGAGAAACCCCACATCTTTAGCTGTAATAATGCTTCCTCTTCCCATTTTCCCCACAACAACCTGGTGCGGTGGGCTGGGCTGAGAGAGAGGGGCTGGCCCAAAGCCACCCAGCTGGTTTCCATGCTGTAGGGCGGAGGAGGACGCGCAGTCTCCCAGCTTCTCATCCAGCACCTTCACCACTACGCCAAGCCACCTCTTGTCACCTTCTCACGCTTCACATGCCCTAACCCCAGCATTCATCCCTGGCTGTGGGGTGCTGAAATGTGGGCCTGGTTTTGTGGACTCTTTACCTTTTCCCTTCCCAGGTGTTGGTTGATAGGGGTTAACTCTACTGTCATTCCTGCTCCAATTGAAGCCCGTTTCGGAATGTGGTGTCTTCATACTTACACTAGAACGTGAATGCTTATGACAAACTTAAACCAACTTAAATTGCACACAGGGGCTGAGTACTAGAGAAAGAGATGGATTGTGTAGGTTACACATTTGGACCATCCTGTGTGGCCTGTCACACCATCATGCTGGACTGCAGTCTCTTGGAAACAGGAGGAGACGGGCTGGGAGCTGGCAAAGGAATTCCTGGTAGGCATTCCCAGGTCTTGATGGGCCAAGAAGATGCAGTGCATCGTTTGCCAATCAGAGGGGCCCAAAAGGTAGAAGGATGCCGTGAACGAGCCACTCCTGAGGGAATCAAGCTCAGGAGGTCCCGTCTGGAGAAAGGCAGCGCGCCCACAGGGGGGTCAAAAAGTCAAGATGGCAGCTAGGCCCGTGCCCTCAAAGCCCTGCCCCCCTTTGGACATGCATCATGCACAAAAAGGGACGGAGCTTCGACTGCACTGTCACGGTCACCATCTTGACTTTTCTGACCCTGCTGGAAAGGCAAAAGCAGAAGTGGACTTAAACCAACGAAAGTCAGGGAGCTTTGACACAGCCAGGGCTTTGAAGGAATAAAATAGCCTTGCGTTTACACACGTGAAAGGAGTTTCATCGTCTCCTTTCCTCTCAGCTGCACTTTTAGCTCTTCTCCATTTCCAGGGAACTCGAGCACCCTTGCCTCTTTCCAGCCAGACGCAGAGCAGACTGGCCGTCTTGCTCCTGTATCTGCGTCTGAACACATTCCTATTCTTGTACCTCGCTTCTGTCTCCCATAGGTTTTAGGCTTGACATGTGAAGTTGCAAAATGCCTCAAGTAAGTCAAGGATGCATAAATGCGGCCGTTCCTTGCATGTGCCCCATGGCTGCTCCCAGGGCCTGTTGTGCTTCCTGAGAGAAGCACGCAGCAGCGGGCGATTCACAGCCTGCTGAGCATGTGGCTGCCAGAAGCAGCAAATCTGAACTCTGGGGCTGGAATGAAGGGTGTTAGGGTAGCAACTGAACTTGAGAAGATCATCACAGTGAGCTGCATTCAAGGGTATCTTGCAATTATCAAGAAGGAGCGTGACCGCTCTTGGCGCTGGGACACTCTGGGAACAAAGGTGGCTTCACGCCTTGCCTTTTTGGGGTCAAAGGATGTTTAGATCAGGTCAGAGCCTTAGACGGTTACTGCTTGGTTCTGCCCACGTTCCTGCACCTGGATGATGCTCTGCGTCCCAATGATATTGAGGAGTCCCAGTTGGGCTTAAAACAGGACATTGCCTTACAGGCTCTGCTGGAGCCCCCGGGGCATGGGCCACAGCAGGGATCCCCTCCTCCTCCGGAGGAATCTCCAGATCTTACTCACTCTCTGGATTGTAGCCCTGTGTCCCCCACAACTGCAGCAAGACCACGATCGGCAGCAGCAGCCCTGGCTGGGCACCCATCCCGAGCTATGGTTCTTGGCGTCTGTTCCACATTGTTCAAGTCATGCTTCAGCACTGAGATGTTGACCTCAGCAGGTTCTCCTTCTGAGTTGCTAGGAGACAGGCCTGGCCTTGCTTCAGGAGTGCAGGCTGGAAGGAACAGGTTGCTCAACCGCTCCTGGCCCAGATGGGTGGCCTTCACCATGGAAGAGCTCCCTGAAAGGAGCCAGCCCTGCCTTGTATTCACGCTGCACCAGCCATAACAGTGGCTCTAAAGAACTACTGGAAGAGAGCTCCTGGAATCATGCCAGGGCTTGTGGAATGTCTACACAATAGAGCAGTGCTGGCTGGGGAGTTGAATTCTGGGAGTTGAAGTCCACACCTCTTAAAGTTGCCATGTTTAAAAAACACTGCAGTAGAGCTTCTGGACGCTTGAGCAGTGCCAAACTACATAAAACAGCCTGCTTTTGAAGTTTTCAAGAGTTTTATTTCACCAATCATCCCAGTGGCACCCAACCCTCAGCCATATCAGAAACTGGTGGGAACTGGGTGGTGGCTGTGACTGACTCCCACGTGGGGTGCAGGAGATTCCAGGGCTAAAAGGATCTGGATCTCAGCAAATCCAAGAGATCCTCTACTGAGAAATGGAGATACTGACCAATGGTCCTGAAATGCCCCAATACTAGACCCAATCCGGCTGGTGGGTTTCCAAGATCAGAAAGAAACTACCATTACGGTTTATAGTATGTCCTGCCTTTCCACCCACAGGGTTTTCACGCACCTATCATGTAATACGTTTAAAAAAAAAAAACTTATTGCACATTTAATAAATCAGAATTTATTTTCCAAATGCAGAAAATCACCCAAGACCCTTCTCCCCTCCAGGTAATTAATTTTCCTCCTTTTACTCAGTGTCTGCAGCATGAACATTAAACTCACAACACTTCAAGTTAAACAATTACCATGTTCTCATCTCTGGAGAAAGCAGCAGAGAGAAACCAACTTCACAGAAGAGGACCTGGGGTTTTGATTAGAGTTTTTTAAAGTGCTTTTGTTAGAAATATTCCTCACTGACAGGACTGAAGTTATGGAAAAGCCTTCCCAAGACACAGTACTGAATTAAGAAAAGAGGAAAAAAGTTAATTTGCAACATTAAAGCCAGGACGAGGAACGTCCCCCCAAGGGCTTCCATATACGGAAGGCAGATATGGCCAAATTAAACCTTCTTCCGGTCCTAACATGCCTGTCTGTCTCGCCTTCTTTTCCGTCCAGCTCGAAGGTGGCTCCCAGGCTGCACGGCTGCCTCTCCAGGACAGTGCAGTTGGGTTTGCTGCAGATTGCAGAGGGTTGGATTAGATAATGGGGCGTGGGGGCTTCCAGGTTCACCGTTCCATGATTCTAGGTCTCTGTCAGGTTCTCTTCCCTCCATGTGTGATCTTCCCCCAGGCCCTGGACATTCACTGGCCTCATCCTCACGTTCCAAAGAGAAGTCCTATCTATCTCTTGTCTAACTGAAAAGAAGATGTCTCAGCCGGAAAACCAGGAAACCATGGGAGGACGGGGAGATAATGCCCTCTCGTGGGGAGAGATGCGCTGGTACCTAATGACCTGTAGCCAAGGCAGGGCGTTAGCACTGCCCTCTGGCATGGCAAACATGATCTCATCCAACATGGTCAAAGGACACGCGGGGGCCCTACCAGCTTCCCCTTCGGATGCGTTAGGTTCCATCTCCCTTCAACCTCCGACCGCAACAGCCTTTGACAGGGAAGGATGGCAGGTGGCCTTCAATCTGTCCTGAGGTTGATTTCTTGATTTCTACCAAGGGTAGAAATGCAGCTGCAGTAGAAACCTTATCTTATCTGTGCTAAAGCTTGGAACCTGAACACTTCACCCAGCAAAACAGGTTGCGCAGGATCAGGGAACATGCCCAACTCAGAAGGCAAGATGTGATTTTTCCTGATTAAAAAAAACTGCAAAAACTCTTTGGGAGTTAAATGGAATCAGCTCTTCTGTCCACCTGCAGAAGAGAAAGGCATGGATTACAGACGGGCTTGTGCAGGGGAAGAGGGAGGCTAAGAGGCACAGCGGCAGCAGGATGGCTTGGGACTGCACTGGGGAGCACAGCAAGGTTGAAGCAGGGGGTCACTGCCCATGGCCGTTTGGCTTTCCCCGAATGTCATGGCTTTGTCAAAGGACGCCTTCAGCAGGCGGGCCTCTTTTAGGACCTTCAGAATTCCAGATGCCTGGGCACCATGCAGAAGGTTGTAGTTCTCAGCAGGGTCTGACTCAAGGTCATACAGCAAGGGAGGCTCATGGGTAAGAAGAATGATCTCACTGCAGGTGGGGTCAGGGGTCCAGCCGCTCTTTATGTCTCCTGGAGATCAAAACAGAGGAGGAGGAGACGTAAGGCTCTGTCTCATTCTAGGTTGGAAAGAGACAGAGACAATCTCCTCCCGACACTTTAGGGAGACAGGAAAGGACTCACCTTTGGTGAAGAAGTGAGCCTTGTACTTGTCGTAGCGGACAGCAAAAACTCCAAATAATTCATTGGGAGCAGGAGGGTAAAAGAACATGGTCTGGCGGGGGCTCTGTCAGAAGAATCAGAGAAGAGGCAGGTAAACATCATTAACAGGAATCTGTGTGGGTATACAAGGGGGTGGGAATCACCTCCTCCATGCATACATGGTTGCCCACAGACTCAAACCAGTCTGCGTGGGAGCCATCTTTACTCCAGAAACTTGGTGCCATCAGGAGGCTGACCTCTCCCCAAGGGGGTGCCATGTTCTTGCAGGCCCATTCCACAGTGCAAGGCTGTGGAGGACTGTTGACCATACAAGGTCCCACCTTGTTTTCTCATCCATCCTGGAGGATTGAGAAAGATCAGCTTCCTCAAACTGAAGCCCTCTACAAGTGCTGGGACTGCAATTCCCAGAATGTCCTGACAACATGGGCAAAGTCCTACCAGCTGGAATTTACAGTCCCAACGTTTCTGCAGGCACCAGGAGAGGGAAAGCAAGTTTAAGATAATGTTCCTTATGGGCTGTTTTGGGAATGTGTAAGAGTAAGCTAAAACAGAGTGGGGAGTCTGTGGGGAAACCCAGCCCTTGTCTCAGCAGATTGAGCAAATCCCATTAAACCGTTAAGGTGTATGTGCTTGGGCAGATCATGTTATATAAATGCACCAACTGCATTTGTTAATCCAGACTGGAGATTTAATGGGCATGAGAGTGTGGCTGTTAATGAGCAGGTGGCATAAGCACTGATGTGCCAGTTTCTAGATAACCATTGGGTGAAGCATGGAAGGGAGGCACGTCTGCAGAGAAAATCTTCCTGCAACAATTTCCACGTGTAGCTCAAGGAGGTGAAATGGCAGCTCTTTCCCACGCCCTGCCCCGAGTTTCCATTCCACCCTTGGCTCTTCTCATACCTCCTCCCCTCCACCACTCTGCATGGCCCAGGAACAGCCGCCTCTCCCCGGGATCATGCTGTTGCAGGGCGTGGAGGGAACCAGACTGGGGGGCTACTCGTAGTCCCAAGGCAGATCCACTGCGATCAACCCGGGCATGGAAAGTGAGGCCATCCGACCCACTGCCAGCGGACTGCCCCAGAAGCCTACCTTTCCCTTCCCAAAGAGGACGGGGCTGAGGTCATATCCATCCAGGGTGATGTTGGGGAGAGGCACCTCAGCCAGAGCAGCTACAGTGGGCAGGATGTCCAGCGTACTGGCCAGTTCATGCGTCACACCTGGCTCCAAGAGGAAGACGTCAAGGGGGGTTGGGGGAACATCCCTCTTGGACCTAAAGGCGCCCACTCTGATCCTGCCCCACTACTAGCCAAAGACATCCCATCCCATGACTTACCTGGCGCAATACGACCAGGCCAATAAGCCACAGCAGGTTCCCTCATGCCCCCTTCATAGGTCGTCCCCTTCCCACACTTGAGTAAGCCGGAGCTGCCTCCGCGGGAACCACGCATCGTCTCAGGGCTGTCAAGAAGGAGCAGAGTCGTGGTCTCCCAGGAAACCCCTCTGAACTTCAGGAGCAGTCCAGCAAGTTTCCAGCAGTTCAGCATTTAAACAAAACAAAGTTCATCGTCTCATAAAGGCTCATTAAGGCTTGGCTTATGATCAGCCAAGCCTCACTCCAGGGCTCTGTTTTAATTCAGCGTGCCCTCTTTCTTCACCACACAGAGCTTCCAAATTCTGCCTCGTCCTTTCACCCCATGCAACTGCTTCTGGGGAGACACCCCACCCAGGAAGCTCTGGATGATGGACACAGGACCGCAAGCGGGGAAATCAAGACTGGTCTTGCCCAAAATGGGATGGGTAGTTTTGAGATTCAGCATCTGGTAGGAACCAAGCCATTCCCTGAATCAGTTGGGAGAAGCTGGCCGTCTCACTGAACCATTACAGGAGTATCCAGCTGAGTAGCATGAACGCAGCCACGATGTTCTGATAAACTGGATTTCTGGTATTTTGAGAACCCATCCAAACTGGGCAGAGGTATTTTCATGGCAGCAGGATTCATCACAGATGGTCACAAATGACTGTCTGGCCTAATCAAACCTGGATGCTAAACTGAGCACCGTGCTGCAGCCCTTCCCTCATTCCTGAGCCAAAAGACTGCCCCGGTTGCACACTCACCCGTTGTCAGAGGTGAAAAACACCAGCGAATTTTCGTGGACCCCGGCATCCTGCAAAGCCTGCAAGAGGAGGCCAACCGTTCCATCAAACTCCAGGAGAGCGTCACCGTAAGGCCCTCTAGAGGACCGGCCAGTGTAGTTCTGGCTCCCAAACTGGGGATAGTGGGTATGCTGGAAAGAGAAACGTATAGGACTATCAATATTTGGAGATTTCGGCTTTCAAGTAACAGAGCAGCTTAAAAAGAAGACAGGAACAGCTCTGCTCCTAGGTCAGCCCACCCAGTCTGCTGCAGCTCAGCCCACTCGACGGAGCAGGGTTATGGAGCCCCAAGTCCCAGGGCAGATTCCCACCAGCTCTAGGAAGGTCCCCCTGTTGCTACACACACTACATCAACTAAATCCCAAACAAAGCTCTGAAAAAGAAAGGGCCGCACACATTGGCCTCCACCACTGGCATCCTATAGTCAGACTTAAAGAGCAAATTTTAGAATGTTTGGATATTGAAAAGTGCGGAAATACGGACTTCCGGTGGGGACTAACGACGGTTTGACCGATTCCTTTCCTTGGGAATCGACCCCACAGCTGTGGGGGCCGGGGCAGGATCCCTGTAGCCGAAAGAATTCTCCGGATGTAAAGGAGAATCCATTAAATCAACCCAGATGCTGTCTGGGCAGCCGTTTCCTGCGAGGAGACCCCGAAGCAGAGGACTTTCTGATCGACTTGTGGTGAGCAGGGGGGCTCTTCCATCCTGTCCGAGGCTGTGGCGTAGCCGAAATTTAGGACACTAAAACCACCACCCCATTTCAAAAACACGTTTTAAATGGTCCATCACTCGTTCAGACAGAGAGAGGCTTTTTCGGCAACAGATAAATGTATCTTCTCGGTGCTTTTCGTATTTTCAACACTTATTTAAAAAAAAACTGATTTGGGCTTTGGGATTTACATACTGAGCAAAGATCTGAAGGGCTGAATTATTGGGTGTTTGTATGAAACAAGTGACCTTTTCTTGGACTTTAAAAAAAAGTTAGTTTTGTTGAATCTGCACTTGCGAGACTGAAGCTTGAGATCGCTGATTAAAGATTTCTCTGGGAAAGCTGCTTTTTTTCACTTTCCTGTGATGCCGATTGGAGCAGCTTTGGGACCAAAAGTACTCCGAGACCTTGCTTTTCACCAGTTTTGGTTTTCCCCGTCTGCGAGGCTTGTTACGGCTGCAAGTCCAGCAAAGGGAATTTAAAGAGACACTTATACGTTTACTGGAAGGTCTCACTACTAGAATTCTACAAGTGACAGAAATTAAATCTGAAGCCTTTGAGAAAAAATTAGGCAGATTTGCAGACAAAACTGGATATTGAAAATAAGAAACCTGGCAGCGTTGCAGGGCGTGAAGTAAGGCAATCTCCAGAAGAATAGGAGATCTGGATACGGATGGAGGGCTGGGTGATTTAGTTTATCTTGAGCGTGGAGATAACGAGTTCCTTATAAAGCCCAGATTCACAACAGAAATCTTTTTTGACAATATCCAGACCGTAAAGCAGAAGAATGTTTTGGAGATTTTTCTCCTTTTGAGCATGCAGGAAGACTTATTAAACCTCTGAAGACATCTTTGATAGCAAAAAAGGACAAAGCGACAAGAAATTACTACTTGAGATTTCAGTTGAAGAAAAGATTAAATGCAAAACGAAGAAAAAGGCATTTAAAGTGGACTTATGGGACCAAGGTTAAAAAGTGCAAGTTATGATTTTGGATCAGTAATACTGGAATTTATTTTTGGACTGCGATTATATGATAATGTTTGTGGATTTTACTGCTACGGAAAATGAACAGAGAGGTGTTTTTATGAAACAGACAGATTAACTGACCCTTCAAATGCTAGCAAGGACCCTGGGATAATACGTCTGTATAAATTTCTTTGTTTCTATTTAGAAATTACTTTTGGGATTTTTGCTTGTAACTGAAAGAAATGAAATTCTGACTTTGAGATTTGATATTCAGAATTGTTTTCACTATATAAATATTGTGTTTTATTGATATTACTAGAGGAAGAAATTAACGTATTACTTCGCTTATAACTGTACCGAAGAAAGTAGGAAGTTGTTCTTTTCTTCTTTTCTGTTTCTTTTTCCTCCCCTCCCCCTTTTTTTCTTCTTCACATTTCTTTCTTTTCTACTTTTCTTCTGATGTCTCTGTGTATTTTATTCTCATTTGAAACTTAATAAAATTCTTATTTAAAAAAAGTGCAGAAATACAGAAACTGACCCCCGTGTTTCCTCTGCCGGGCGCATTCTGCTCAGCAAGGGAAGGGCTGAATGTGAAATGGGGCCTGCTGGATCGCATGAGCTGCGCCATCAACTCCCCAGACTTTGCTCTTGGGGTAGCCTCTGAGCGGGTGGGCAGCGGGGAGAGAGACAGAGAGAGACAGAGAGAGGCAGCAACGCCCTGAACAGCAAAGCTGCACCCACGGGATGCCAAGGGCAAAAGGCCTTCCAGCTGCCCGTTAGCCGCCCCAGGTGAACGGAGACCAGAAAGCAGGGCTGATGTTACCCGCCCCAACCTTTCTGCTCCAGCCCCACGTCCCGAGTCTCACCCCATCCCAGAAGCGCCTGAGACTCACGTGGGAGGCATAATACAGCAGGAACGGCTGCTTGCGCTGAGCACAAGCCCTGATGAAATCCCGCGCAAATGCGTCGTAGCGGGCCTCCAGGCGGGGGAAGTTTATCGGCTGCTCCACAATGCTCTGGTTCAGGAACAGGGGGACGGGAACCACACCCAGGTCGCAGGTCCCAAAGCACCGAGTGCTGGGTGGGAAGCAGGTCAGATTCTGGCAGGGGCCCTGCAAGAGGTGGGGGGGGATGAGGACGGAGCCACGGGGGGAGATGCCCGGCAGAGCCCTTCCCGTGGGCCAGAGGCTGCCCGGCCCCTTCCTCTCCTCTAAACAATGCCACCGCCACCCCTTTTAAGGCCAAACAGGAACGATTACAGCACCTTGGGTGGGTTCACAGGTAGCACCGAGCCACAAACGGTTGTTTAACAGGAGTGAACCCAGCCACTATTTGTAAATCCAAGATTAGTCATAAGTATAAACCAGTTACGGCAGCATTTTTGACAAACCACAGTTGGCATTTTCCTTCTTTTTGCCTGAGTCCCAAGATTTGAGCAGCGTATTAAAAAGATGTATTAATAAATAAAGTGTTTAAAAAACCTTGTGGCTTAACATGATGCACGAGCTTGGCTGCTGCATTACCAGTTCCATAAATTCCACATTGATTGAAAAGATTTCATTACAGACCCAACCATTTCCGATGCAAGGGGACTTCAGTCAGGAAAAGAACACACAGAAGCCCATGACTGGTTTATTCGAGTCTTCGGAAACAGAGATTTGCAAAGAAATTGTGTGTTCCACTAAACACATCATGCATTTCGCAGAGCAGGAATGACCCTCTAGATTCATGTTTTCCAAACTTGGCAACTTTAAGATGCGTAGACTTCAATTCCCTGCATGGAGGTCGGGGAGTTCTGGCAGCTGACATCTACACCCCTTAAAGTTGCCAAGTTTGAGAGCACTGATCTAGATCTTGCTGGGTTGTTACTGCCATCAGCAGCTGAGGCACACACATACGCTTCCATACATTCCTCCTCCGTGCCCTTCGTTCATCTCCTTTTCTGTACCCTTTTCTAGACAACTAATGTGTCTTCCGTGGCTGTTAAAATCTTGAGGCAATTGTCCTCCAATTCAGGCCACCGTTCGGTGACTCCCTCCATTCCCTCACTCTGTCATTCTAAACACAAGCGAGGCAGAACAAAGTGCCATCCACCTATTTCCAAGCTGCCTCAGGCTCTTCCTCCCAAGCGGATCCAAGCAGACGACAGCCCCAGGGAGCCCAGAACCCCCGCCACGTCACGCCTGCTGCTTCTCACCTGGTCATGTGAGTAGGGCACACCCAAGAAGTGGTCAAAGCCTTGGTTTGTGGGCAAGAAAATCCCCTTGGGGCCCAGGCCCAGGTGCCACTTGCCGACCATGGCAGTGGCGTAGCCCCGTGTCTTCAGCAATTCTGCCACTGTCACCTCTGCCAAGGGGAGGCCTCCCTTCGAGCCAGGATAAAAGACACCAGGATAGACGCCAGAACGGGTCTGGTAGCGTCCCGTCAACAGGGCTGCCCTGCGGAGAGAGCAGGAGTGGCAAACCAGGGACAGAGGCCTACGTCCAATCATCATCAGACCCGGAGCTCGAGGCCATAACCCCTCCCCAAGGAACTTATGGGCTGGAAGGTCTCAGTGGGGGCACAGGGCCTCCCGAGAGGCAAGGTGACATCTGTGGCCCCGTGCCTCTGTTGGTGCCTGTTCTCATTCATGTGGGGCTCGAGGCCAGGAGTCTGCTTCATGAACAGTGTCAGGCAAGGGGAGCAGAGGGGGCTGACAAAGAGGGGCCCGGGACTCCTCTGAGGTGACTATCAGAAGAAGAGAAGGGGACCACTGTACCTAGAGGGGCTGCAGATGGGGGAGCTGCTGTAGAAGTCAGTGAAGCGCAGGCCCTCGGCAGCCATCTTGTCCAGGTTGGGGGTGGCAGACGTGGGATGCCCATAGCTGCCCAGGTCCCCAAAGCCCAGGTCATCAGCAAAAATCAGGATGATGTTGGGGGGTTGGTAGGCTGATCCGAGGGAAGCCAGCAGCATCAGGCACAGGGCGAAGAGCCACGCTGGAGACAAGGCTGACATGGCTGTCCGAAGGGCAGGCGGGCTGCCGGGATGCTGGCTAGGCGAGGTCAGCAGACCAGCTGCAGGAAGTCCGTCTGAGCCACAACGTCACTGCTGGAGTGCTGCGGCCTCGACTGGAGTGGGGCGCCAGACGCCCAGCCTGCGGCATGCCCCACTGCTCTCCAGCCATCCCTGTGTGAGAACAGTATACAGGACTCAACGGTCACTGACATGACCTTCTGCCCAAGGCTGACTCTTAAGGTCCCCACACAGGGCACACCCCTCAGAGCTGGCCGAGACCCTGTGCTCGGTCCGAGGAAAGGCTGCAAGGGACTGGAGGAGCACATCGCATAAAAAACACACTGAAATCAGAGCAAAAACAAATGAATAGATACTGCTGAAGCCAAAGCCAGCCAGGGAACTGGAAAAGCTGCTGGGTCAGATCCAAAAGGGGGTAGAAGGAAGGTAAGGAGATCACAGGCAAGCAGAAGGAACCCTTTGCAACTAACAGGACGGCCACCTGGGAAAGTAAGGTGAACAATGGGAGCACAGGGTGGAAATTCTAGAACAGGGACCCCTACCTGAGGCATCAGACTACATCTCCCATCACATCTAGCCAGCATAGCCACTGGTGGTGGTGGGGAGTCAGCTGGGAAGGCTGGTTTAGGCCTTCCTGAAAAATGGAAGCAATTCATCCCTGAGATGAGCTATGGAATTGCCAGTCTCTAATAAACACGTGTAATATGTCCGTAAGACACCTGTCTTAGGAGGGAACTAGAAAGCAAGCCTCCCAGCAGAGGTATCGGGATCAGAAATAAGCTTAGCGGTGGACCACTGGGCGGGGAGGGGGCTCCCCTTCACTGGGTGTGCTTGAGCAAAGGGTGGACAGCCATCCGTGGAGAGCCTTAACTTGGAGGCTGGTCCCGAGGACCTCAGCAGCCCCTCCCAGTTCTGTGAAAATGAGAAGGTCCTTCTTTTCTGCTTCTTCCGGAGATTTTGGGGGCATTTATTTACTTACAGGACTTATATGGCCGTCTATCTCATACAGTGACCCTAGGTAGCTCACAACAATCCATAAAACAACAAAGGTACCCTTCCCCCAGCATTAGACCAAACATCCTCCCAGCTCAACGCTTGGAGGAAGAGCCAGGTCTTCACAGCCCTCCAGAAGGCTAAAAGGGTAGAGATCCCCCAGATCTCAGGAGGGAGGCTGTTCCAAAGGGCTGGGGCAGCCACTGAGAAGGCATGTCTCCGAGGTCCCATCGGGAGCGCACCCTATCAACCCCCATCCTAGCCCAATGTTTGGGGGAAGAGCCAAGCCTTCACAGCCCTCCAGAAGGCTAAAAGGGTAGGGGTTCCTCAGATCTTAGGTGGGAGGCTGTTCCAAAGGGCCGGGGCGGCCACCAAGAAGACGTGCCTCTGAGATCCCATCAGGTGGCAATATTTAAGGGAGGGGACCTGAAGTGCACCCACCCTATCTAACCTAGTAGGATAGGCAGATACCCTTAGAGAGAGGCGGTTCTGCAAGTAACTTGGCCCCGTGCCATGTAGGGCTTTAAAGGTAATAACCAGCATCTTGAATTGCACCTGGAAACCAACTGGAAGCCAGTGCAGCTCACACAGCAGTGGTGTTACTTGGGTGAACTGTGGGGCACCCAACACTACATACGCCACTGCATTCTGGACCCGTTGCAGCTTCCGGATGTCTTCAAGGGCAGCCCCATGTAGAGTGCATTGCAGGAATCCAAATGGGAGATGACTAAGGCATGGGTGACTGTGAGCAAGGCCTCCTGGTCCAAAAACGGGCGCAATTGGTGCACGAGATGAATTTGGGCAAAGCCCGCCCTGGCCACGGCTGCCACTTGCTCTTCCAGCAGGAGCTGTGAGTCCAAGAGGATCCCCAAATTGTACATTAGATTTGTACGGGGAGAGTATTACCCCGTCCAGAGACAGAGATGCCAACTCTTCTGACCCTAGGAGGCCAAAAACCCACAACCACTCCATCTTGCTAGAGTTGAGTCACAGCCGGTTTCTCCCCTTCTAGGCCCTTACACTCTCCAGGCACTGAGCCAGCACCTGAACAACATCATTCACCGGCCTGGGCTAGAGATGTATAATTGGGTATCATCAGCATCATCTCTCCTGCCCCACTAACACTGACTGGTACTGGCCACGGAGAAAGGAGGAGAACCACTGCAAAACTCCCAATCCTCAGAGCCAGTCCAGCAAGAGATCATGGCTGATGATATCAAAAGCTGCTGAGAGATCCAGAAGGGCCAGGATGGACACATCGCTCCCATCCCGAGCCCTCCAAGGTCACCCACAAGCGTGACCGGTGCTGTCTCGGCACTATAGCCCAGCCTGAATCCTGACTGAAAAGGGTCCAGATAATCTGCTTCAACCAAGACCCTAACCCTAACCCTTAAAAGGGAAGGTTAGATACCGGACAGAAGTTATTCAAAACTGTAGGATCTAAGGTGGCCTTTTGAGGAGGGGACAAACCACTGCTTCTTTCAAGGCTGGCAGAACTACTCCCTCCTGCAAGGAGGTATTTACCACCGCTTGGACCCAACCACATGCCAGCTCCTGGGAGGCCTTAACCAACCAGGAGGTGCATGGCTCCAGATTACAGGTGGCAGAGCTCACAGCAGTAAGGACCCTGCCACTTCCTCAGGATTGAGTGGCTCAAATTCCTCCCAGATAACCAAGCCAGGACATGCCTCAGTCGCTTCCACTGGATCTGCCCAGCCAGAGTCCACCTCTGAACAAAGTTGAGCAACTTTATCCAAC